GTCAAGCAGCTCAGCTCACACGCTCAACAAAGCCTTCTATACAAAACGCCTTTTATGTTGGCTAACAAGCTTGAGCAAATATTGACATTTAAGAAGGTATCGAACCTCTCTTTGGGTATACCCAGCCACGTTAATACCTCGCTTAGTTCGGACCTTGCTGGTAGCACGAGCTCTGTGGATGGGACTTTCTTTAATCCGTACCCGTTCTGAGGAGCAGGCACTTTCAAAGTGTCGGAAGGATGCTTGCCAACCCGAATCTTATTAGCTTGAAGGCGCATTCCACAGTCGCCATTTAGGTGGACCCTGGCGTAACACTGTCCAATCGCGCCCCTCCTTCTTAAGGTGGCAACGAGAAAGGGCACATCAACGAAGGCTTGATAAGTGATAGGCTGGCCTCCGCCCAAATCACAAGAGTGGAATGTTTCTTTAAATGGCAAGTTCTGCAATAAGCGAACGTTTTTGAGGTTTTTCTTCATTTCATCGTAGAACTTATTACATTTATCTAAATTACACGCGGACGTCGAAGCCACTCTCCTTAGTGGACCGCCCTGTATAGAAATGGCTGTGTAGCCAGCTACGGCATTTACCCAACCAATGAAAGTCTCTCAGAATGATTCTGGTTGTAGTTAAGTTTTTTGCTTGAATAGGCTGCTACATTTAGTTACGGTCTACATTAATGCTCTCAGTTTCGAATTCCACCCCCCCCCCAGGTGGGTCAAACCTGGTAATATTTTACAGTGCTTGTCACTGGGTAACTGACAAATGCAAAGAATCCATTGTTCCTAAGGCTAACCCGTTACCATCCTGACTTTATCAACCACATCTGCAATGAAACCACCTATCGAGCAAGTCCTACGTTGAATTTCCCGGCGAAGGGGGTCCTACTTGTTTGCTGGAAGAAGAAAGCCGTATTTGCCTTTGAGGAAAATGCTTCCGGTTGTTGGTTTCTCTTGATTTTTCCTGTTATGTGCGCCACACCCGCCCACTAATTTTTCGAGGAAGAAGTGGAAGACTTCTTGGAAAACTGGGAGAGTTCAGCAAGATGGCGGTAGTAGGACGGGGAAGGGAGATCTTGCGGGAAATCTCCCCAAGGTCTGCTCCCCATTCAGAGTTTACTTTAGTCACCAGTACTGCGCAACCGGACCTAGTAAGGCCACACTGGGAAGCACCGTTCCATTGGAGGGGGACTATGCCTTTCATGGACTTGTCAAAATGACACAGCAAACCTCAACAGGACTAGGAACAGCAACCCAGCATTCAGCGGAAATTCAGCGGCTTCTTCCCTGTGCCTTAATGCGGGTTTTTAAACGTATTTGCTGTCCGAGCAGGTTCCTCACAGTATCCCAGAGCGAAGGTTGAGGTGAATTGAAGTCAAACAATATTTTCGCTTCAGAGCCAGCTTAACGACTATTTACATAGTGTTCTAAGTCGCGTAAAATCACCAACAACGACCGTAATGACGTTGGACACGGCGGAGGTCAACGACAATGTCGTGCATGGGAGGAAAACATTCAAGAAATCACAGAGACGCCAGTTTCAGAAGGGTCTTCGATCAGCCTGATCCCAAACAAACCACCATTTGCCTCGACTTCCTGACTGTTACCTTGTTTAGCGAGAAAAACCTGACCGAAAATATCACAAGATAAAGAAGAAGGCGGGGCGCAGTTTGTCGACGGGGGGGGCATTTTTGCTTTCCATAGATGTGTCGACCCATCTAGGTAGCCTTTTCTCGAGTTTACACGTTTTAGGATGGTGGCTAGACGATCCTGCACCAGCTTTACAAGGGTTCACAAGTTTTAACCAGGGTAGAGATTTGTGAATCGAACTATTGAAGCATTAGGCTGCGTTTATACTTTGCGGCAGCGTAGCGTAGCGTAGCGTAGCGCAGCGTAGCGTAGCGCTTCCAGCGTACGCCAGCGGCAGTGCCGAAGAGAGGATGCATATCGATCTAGCTTCACCAGCGTCACCAGCGGCACGCTGGCGTACGCTAGCGTGCGCTAGCGGCACGCTAGCGTACGCCAGCGGCACGCTAGCGCACGCTGGCGTAGCGAGGGCACGGGAAGCATAGCTATCGATCTAGCTTCACCAGCGTTTCTCGAGCGTTTCTCCAGCGGCACCAGCGTTTTGCTAGCGCTTGCAGCGGCAGGGAGTAGAGACTATGTGGCCCGTCGGAGACGCAGAAGCGATGTGCATTGTAGAGACTATGTGCCCGTCGAAGACGCAGAAGCGATGTGCATTGTAGAGACTATGTGCCCGTCGAAGACGCAGAAGCGATGTGCATTGTAGAGACTATGTGCCCGTCGAAGACGCAGAAGCGATGTGCATTGTAGAGACTAAGGGCGAGTGAGAGACGCGCAATCGATGTGTTTTGTACCCTCCAGCTCTCCCATAGTCTCTACTCCCCTGCCGCTGCAAACGCTAGCAAAACGCTGGTGAAACGCTGGAGAAACGCTGGCGTACGCTAGCGTACGCCAGCGTGCCGCTGGTGACGCTGGTGAAGCTAGATCGATATGCATCCTCTCTTCGGCATTGCCGCTGGCGTACGCTGGAAGCGCTACGCTACGCTGCGCTACGCTACGCTACGCTACGCTACGCTGCCGCAAAGTATAAACGCAGCCTTAGTAGTAAAAAACTGGCCCTCACCGTCGACAGAACATCGCCAAGGAAACGAGGTGTTTTAAAAGCGAGTTCGCCCAAGGAGAACCTGTAGGCAGCCATGATACTTGCTAAACCTGGCTGACCATCCACCCTTCTGAAACTGAACTCTTGAAGGCTCGATCTAGTTGTGGGACATTTCTGAACTTTCAGTAACTGAAGTCTGACTAATCAGAAATACACCCAAAAGTAGATTGTTCAATAAGAACGTTCAGCTAGCCATAACTTTCAGCCCACTGGGTACAGAAGCATCAAATGAGACCAATATTCTAAGAAAAATCAAATTCTCATGCTCACCGTACTAATCGAACAACTCCGTGGAATGCTTGATCAACGTTCATCCTCAGTTTAGCCGAACACTCCACGTAAGGGATGTTCAGGGATCGGGCCAACTCCTCAGCTTCAGACCTCGTCACCTGAAACTGTAGGATGTAGTAAACCTCTGGACAAAATGTTCAAAATGTTTTTTTTCAAAACCCCTGAATCTTTTTAAACACAGAGAAAGCGCTGGAAAATAAATGTTCCAGGGGACGTGGAATAAAGGTGGCAAAGCAAAAGACTAGGCAAGGGAGCAACAACTAATATGATGCGTTAACATTAGTATTGGCACGGATGTGCTCTTTCTCACTGCCTTTCTCACTTTCCTTCTTCAAGTTTTTGTTCTTTCTCTCCTTTTCTTACTCATTCTGAGTTTTGCCTATACTTATTCATATTTTTTATATTTTTTTTATTTTATTTATTGTTTTTCGGCCACTGTATATGCATTCTCTGCCTTGATAGTCACTAGCTTTTACTTTGGAATTCTAACAGGATGTCAAAGTTGTTTTATTATGACAACTGCTGTTCAAAGCCGTACTCCGAGCTTCGAAATGGTGAGTTATGGGCAAAAGTCACATCCCAAGCGTTCTCGAACAGGTCTCAGGATATCTGTCAAGCATGGAGCCTTCCTCGTTTCCTTCGTCCTTCCTTTTTCTTCCTCTTTCCTTGTTTTCGTTCCTTCCTTTCTCCTCTTTTTTTTCCCTAACTTATCCATCCTACAAAAGCTTCGGCAGGAGATACGATGATGGGGAAAATACTTTAGATCCCGCAATGCGAGACAAACATCCGGCTCAATGGCCTGTAGCACAAAAAGCCATTGAAGGCGAGGAGAGGGTGAAGGGCTCCTTCTTGAGTACAGCATATGTAGTATACTTTACCCGTAAGCTTCATCCTCGGGTTGACTCTGCCCTGACTCAGCACATCTTGTGACTAATAGATACGTGGTTACCTTCTTTTACTGAGAATTGTAATTCTTAACTCCTATTATAATTTCCTCATTGTCTTCCTTCTTTTACATGGAATATTTTTACACTGAAATCACGGAAATTCTTTTTGGCACTACTCATTTGTACAAGTGGAAGTGAGACAGTAATAGGTAGTTCCACTACAATACGCCTGATTTGGCGATCGGACCAGTTCAGTTAGGATCAGGACAACTAGGCCTTCAATCCCTCCAAGGAACCGACTGGTATCAGACGCGGTTGTGAGGATGAAATCGCTGGCTTGTAAGTCTGACGAGCCTGTGGCAAGCAAAATCATTATATCGGGCAAATCACATTCAAAACCTCTACGCTGGTGCATGGAAGAAGAATGCGTGGACCTCCCCGACGAGGTGAATACTAATGTTTTCTGCTACTATTCAGAAATGGAAGAGCTGGCTGGATAAGCATTTCGCAGAAGTGGAGTGACTTCTTTCTTTAAAATCTTAGTTCTGTATTTTCTCCTCAAATTTTCCTCGCTTTCGTACAATGGCCTCAAAGTTTCATGAGCTTGTCTGGTTTCCATTCGAGATCTCCTCGTCATTTAGAATGGAAAAGCAGTTCCATCTTTGATGGCACTGAGCCTGCAAACAGTGAAAAACCTCATCATCTGATATTCTGCCGAACAGGAAAAAAAACTGCCCGCTGACATCTGTCCGCTGCCAGAAGCCAAGGAAACGTGACAAAAACGGCAGAGCTGCTGCAGACAACGCTCTTGCAGATCTTTCGGAGTAACTGTGAGGATGAAAAGGAAAAACTGAAAAGTGCAGAAGGAAGGAAAAAGAGTCCGCTAAAGTTTTTCACTTATCTAGTTGGTTGCAGTGGCTGCAAAAAGGTGAAAAGAAATTATTTGGACAGAAGCTCGGAATGGAATTCTCAGCGCAACAGCTTATACCCTGAAAACAAGTTTAAACTTTATATTAGTCCATCACTCGCCCCAGAACAGTTCGTTGGTCCGATCAACGGTTCCATCCGGCGCTGACAAGGGAGCAGTGTGTTCTGCGGAAATGGGAATTAATGGCGGTGATCTCGGCTCTGCCACTGCTGTACACAGCGGGAGTCCAACAGTATGCTTGATTGATTCGCTCTGGTCCGGTTCAACCACGATCGAATGGCAATTTATTTCAAAATGAACATACTGATATAGTGAGAGAGCAAGGTTCATAGCGCATGAATACAGCCAAAATGGTCTATTTCGGAGCTTGGCAGCTGTGTGAATCGGTGGACAGGAACGCGATAACTTCATGCAGAACTCTCGTAAGAGTCATGAAGCCTACAGGATCAAGCAAAGAAAGGTAGCATCAGCGTTTACTGAAGCCGAGAAAGGTTCTGCTCATCAAGGGGCCCATCCTTCTTCACTTCCAAGCCATTTCCTCAGGTAGCCAGCCGCCTGTGAACAGCCAGCAATTTGGCGGCTGAAAATGGAAGCATGAGGATGGTGTAGTGATCAAAGTGGGCGTCACCATTCGCGCGTCCCGGTATCAATCCCGGTCGACTCCGACCGGCCACCAAGCCTTCTACCCTCCGGGGACGGTAAATTGGTACCAGATTCGTCTGGGAGGATAAAACACTGACTTGTACATCGGCTGGCCACCGCAAGTCATTGTATAGGCCACATCGCATTCAATAACCCACTACGATTCTGAATGGAAGTAGAATGCGTGCCGCATCCCACAAAAGGGATTGATCAACGGCGAAGACTTATCCGTCATCTTTTAATGGGAAGCATCCTACAAGGGAGGTCGTTCAGGCCGTGGTGAGCTTTTTCAAAACGGTTTGTTGCATGTTGTAGGGGTCCATGCGAGGACCACAGCGATGGGGTTCATTTTTGCTAAACGGTTTTGGGAATGTCAAAAAAAGGCCAAAAACAATTTGAAAAGAATGGGCTTTTTAAACCACCTTATTCGCCTCTGTTCTAGCTGTAGCGTTGACAGGGTATAGTATGTAGGTATCCTTTGAGCAGGCATGAAAAACAGCGCAAATGAAGGTCAAAATCCAAATGGTCTACTTTGGCATGCGGTGAGCTGCATTGGAGTTTTCCGGTCATCTGCGCTTCTTTCAACAGGTCCTGCATCTCCGTGTCTATGGCCAGCTGGTGTATGGTGGATAGTGCGACGGGCTCTCGTTCGGAGGGTTTATGGATCGGATCCCCTTGCCGACACAGTTTTTGCATTTTTCACATCTTTTGCCTCTTGTATTCCTGTATGCCCCATAATGTGTATGACCCGGATATACGCCATTTGAAGGCACATTCCATGCGGGAACGGTTCACAAATAGGCCTCACTCAATTATTACGCTCGCGAAATACTGTCAGAAAAACTCTTCATGAAACTTGGGTTACGGCGGTTATCCGATGCTCTGTTCATAAACACGACACTCATTTTTGAATATGGCAAAATGTGTCGCTAATTTGGTGCAAAGGCTTTCTCGTACTACCATCATTGGCAGTCTGCGCGGCGGGTCCTGGCCAGTATGGCGCTAGATGGCCTCCGCAGCAAAAATAAGTATCTGAACCGTGATCAGGACCATCAATTACCCCTACGTATAGAGTTACGCCGAGAAAAATTTTCCCGAGCTTTTTGGTTATGTTGCCGGCCATGTCTCCAGCTAGTGGCTATCAGCCCCCCCCCCCCCAAGGAGTCGTTATCCAACATCGTTAAGAGGAAGCTTTTCATTTGCTAGTATGCAGACGCAGAATTAAAAACTACACAAAAAATGACGCACATACACTGCACTCCTCTCATACCTTTGATATGAGAAACAAAAACCTTTCTTCCAGGCAAGTGGTAACGAGTTCTTTGTCGAAAAGCAGGTAGACGCCGTATAAAGTGAATAAAAACCAAGAAATGTTCTTTTAGTGGCTCCGAAGCAGCATGATTCATACTGAAGACCTACTGAATGGTGAGGCAAGAAGATGCAAAAGTTTCTGCGTTCGGTCTGCGCAGAGAGGATCTCAATGGAGGTTTACGCTTCACCTGCCATTCCAAGATGGTCAAGCCATGACCTGCCAAAAAAAAAATCGGAAAAATGTTTCGCTCGAAACCTCTCAAACGGGGATCAACTGGCCCTGATCACGATTCTGACAATAATTATGGGCCGGGCGGCGCGAGCCAGGACGGGGGGGGCGGTCTGATCTACGAGGCTAGGGCGTGGCGGGCTAAATGGGCAGGGGGACTGCGAGCGCGAAGGGATGCTGCATAAGCCCCTAAAGAAATTGCAGTGTACCTCACTGTATGCCAAGAAAGGCACTTGTATTTCGACCTTATTCAATGTTGTTTTTCCCATGGTCTAGTGAGCAAACACTTCATAACTCTGATTGTATTCTTGCTATTACAGCTAAACAACAGCATGCGAATAGGATGAGTTAAAACTTGCCGTGGTTCTAGCGCGATTTTCTGGTATTCTTCTTTTGACATCCAATAGCGTTTAGCAAAAATGAAACCCATCTGTGTGGTCCTTGTATGGACCCCTACAACATGCAACAAATCGTTTTGAAAAAGCTCAGGTGAAGACCTCCCTGTCAGAAACGCAGCACATTCAAGGTCCTAAGAAGCTCGAGCAAGCACTTTTACATATTCCTCATTCCGAAGCACAGCACAAAAGAATAAAGCGGTCCCATCCATTTTCCAGAGTCACGCTTCTTCCCATTAGATGCAATCAAGCTTATATAGATCCAGACTTGCGGGCCCTGGTCAATGGACAGGTAATCGTTTTCACCTCGACGGAAACTTTTACCAGTTAGCTGACCAGCCGCTGATACCAAATCTCTCCTCCCCTATATGTGCATGCATATCAGGCCTAAATATGGCTGGCTGATGTCGCGTAATACTTAATTCATCGGCTGAGAGTGTCATGATGTCTCAAGGAACGTAACTCATGCTCCATTCATCAGCACGTGCATAGAATCACTCAGAGTTCCTATGCACTGACAACTTCAGCTGAAGTAGGAAATCAGCTCAGTTGGTAAGTTAGTGTCAGAGTTTGGTAGTGGTGCATGGGTCAGAAAACATACCTGTTAACGCCGTTCCGTGAGAAGAGACCAGCTTTTGAGAACTTAGCCAATCCCATAGGCTGTCTTACTAGAGCCTGATCTAGCTGCACTGATTAAACTGCCGTTGCTTACTGCGCATAGTCCAGGAATCAAATTCAAGATGGACACCTGTCTGGGCCAACCAAGCCCTCCCTCGTGCAGAGTTGCTAAATTGCGCTGCGTGGCGCCCAAAACCAAGCCTTACTGGTACGCCCCATCCACTACTCGCACCGAACAAGACTATAGAATGCATGGAGCACCCAAAACGGATTGATCAACGCCGGAGGTTTTATCACTCGCCCTTAACAGAATTGAGGAGATAAACACCTACTCAAACATTGGCCTGACGTGGAAATGCAAACGAGGGCGAAACTAGCGTCAGCCAACATTTCTACGTGTGCAGACAAGGTTAGCGTTAACACTACAGGCGCGCGGACGGGCGAAAGGTAATGAGTAAGCATGCGTATTGGCAGTCTGTGAAAGATGGATCATACGAGGGAGAAAATCCGGCGTACCGAAGGAGAAAATTTCGGATTTGGCCGGGTCGTAGTTAGGAAAAATTAGACTACGCTACCAGTCTGCATGTGCCTGCTGCCAAGAGCCTGCTACTCGTGTTCAGACCCCTCGCAATGTATCCATTATTTTGAGTCGATCCCCAGTGTAGCTACTTTAGTGAAGCAGCCAACAACTCATCAATTTCGAAGCAACGGTCCCTAAATCATGCCAAGCACCCTCATACATATTTTCAGATTCCAGCGCTCGAAAAAAAGCGGAAAGAGGCGGGGCAAAAATCAATGCCGCTGTGTTAGTGATGTTTAACGGAACGGCTGAAATGATTTGCTGCTGCAAAGCAAATTCTTGGCCAAAGAATGATAGAGGCGAAAAGAAAGAGAGGCTCAAAGAACAACCAGCAAAAGTTGCTATTTTTCGAGTGGAAACATTGCGCGCTAAAATGTAACTGTGAAGGAGGTAAGGTAATAAAAATGATACTAACAATGTACAGGAAATAGAGGAGTGCGTACGTTGGGATGTTAAACATTCCAGAGCGAATTATTCACGTAGGCGAGTCGTCAAGCCCTTCGCGGGTGAACGTAACTATTGTGAAAGGAAAATAATAGTTCCGTAATAATACTACGGCCTTCTTAAAATTTTTTAGCATCTGTCACATTTTAAGCAGCTTTTACACTTCCTCTCCGAAAAAAAACTGCCGTCAAGCGATCGAGTGGGAGAAGGGGAGGGGGGGGGGGGAAGGGGCAGTGGAAATCTAAAAGTAGCTTTCGTGGTTCTGTTAGAGCACATCATGAGTGAAGAGCACATCATTGGTGAATTTGGCCGGGTCCGCACGACCTCCCCTAGAGAGTAGCTTGATACGACCCCTTCCCCTTTTTGCGGTTTAGGTTTGTTGTTTTCCCAGGGGAAAATCGCCCTGGAAAAACAGCAAACCTTGCCGCTGGGGAAAATTTCCGAAAGATACGACCCCTTAACCTCATACCTTCCATGAGAAAAGAGGAATCAGTTCAAAAAAAATTCTCGCGTTGAATGTGACTTTCCCTCGCCATAAGCCCTCACCCTCCGTTGAAGGATCCCTAACGATAATATGCCCTGGGTTCTAAGGGGCTAAACAACGCTTTGCGGAGGGGCAGTATTGAACGGAGACGAAATATTTACGAAAGTCAATAACCTGACAAGGAAATTATCATGCGTCTTAGAAACACTTCATCAAGGTCTGGTACGAGCGCTCACGCTCCTTCCCCACTTCGACGAAGTACGACCCTCCCCAGCGATCAGGAGCTACCTTTTGATGGCATTAATCCCAGCATTGCTATTCACTAAACCCACAGCTCACAAAGTATTAGGAATGGGTATCACGCCTGTAACTTGAAAATCAACTAACAGACAACTTCTTCCATTACAATCCTCCTCTTTCAGCGACCAAAAAAGACTCCTTCCCTCCTTGATGGGACTAGCGCAACGAAATGAAAGCCATTCAAGGCGAAAAATTCTTGGAGAGGAAAACTCATTCAAAGGAGGGGGGGGCGGGTCCTAAAAAAGGAAGGCCGACGCTCGACATTCACATGCGCAGGCCAAAGTTATTTACAGAGATCACTCGTTTGGAATGCGCCATGTGTACGCCACTTGTTCGAAAACCTGTGAATGCAAGCAATATAAAGCGAAAGAGTTGGCAACGAAGGAAGCCGGAGGACACGGAGAGCCAGAGAAAACGAGAGAGATTTAAGCTGGAATAGACAGATCAAGAAATAAAGGAATTGCCGTAAGAAAATGCTAAATTAGATGTTCAAATCATTTTCATGAATATTATTCCCCGTTTAGTGGGGTAGGACCACAAGAGTAACGATAGAGAGGGGAACTGTTCGCCCGTCACACTTACTTTTTCTTCCAAAGCTTCTGGACCAGGGGCAGAGATTAGGCATGGTGAACGGGTCAGGAGTTATCAAATTATCTTTGCTTGTGGCTCTTGAAGAATGTACAGAATGTACAAAGCAGAGTAAGGAAAGCGCGAAATGAAAATTGAGTCGTGGAAGAGGAGTGTGAAAAAATTATTTGCGGCCATCCTGGGCTTTCTCAGTATATTTACTGTAGGACCTCCTCGATTCCACTTTATCTCAGCCTACAAGGCCGAGGCTTTCTCAAACCCCGCACTCCCCGTTAGAGTTCAGTTGTCTCGTGTCCTTTACAACTAAAATCCACTACTGTCCCAGACGAAATGTGCTGCGGTGGCGGCGGCAGACATAAGGCGCCTTTGCAAGAAATGGCACATATGGAGGTCATCAAACGCTGATAAAAACATCATTTAAACATCGACGAAACCGGCGTATTTTATGCGCATCCGGACGGTTTTTCAGCTGTTTGACGAGTACAAGGTCGACACGAACGACGGTTGCACCCACTAAAAAGACTTGGCCACTGATCAACGGGTGATTTACATTTGGGAGAAAAGAAAATCGGTTCGAGGTCGATGTCAATACTGCCTCCTGTCTTCCAGAATACCTTGGCCTTGAAGATGGAGCTGTTCAATGCTGACCTCCCTTGCAGTACCCAAGCAACTAGCTCCTGTTCAGACGACGGGTAAAAGGCAAGGGTGTCATCAGCGGTTACGCCTAACAGTCGCTGAGTCAGACATGAAACTTTCTGAAGAGTCGCTTGGTACTATCCTGGCAGTTTCCAGCACCCAATCATCTGTCTATCCGGCAGCCTTTAATGACTTAGTAGACTATTAGAGTTAGGCTGGACCTCATGGAAACCTGCCTGGCCCAGACATTCAGAAAATCACAAGGAACGTCCGAAAGGGCGCTAGCGACCTCGGGGAATACAAACGACTTCCGCTGGTGGACTGGTTACCGTTACCGCTTGAATTACCACATTTCAACAATAGCGTACACACAAACCCGCGAGCCTCTTACAGTCCGCCGTGCCAATTCGACGGAATTGAGTCGGGACGGCTCCAAGAGGCAAGGAGTGAGGCCATCTGCGCGAGTTCTTGCTATTCCCTGAATCGATCACTGACCGAGCAACCTCTGCGAAGCACCGAAAAGCCAGCCAGGGAAGCAACCTCATTTCGCCCCTTCTGACACCGCACCGACTGATGGTGACGTTATTTACGTGGCCTCCCTTGGTCCTACCCAAATGTCTTCGTCTCCATGTTCCAGTTGCGCACAAAACATTCCTTATCGCCTACCCATCTACCCCCCCCCAAAAAAAAAAACATTTTATTAGCCTTTTGACAGCAGCTTTAGGTGAACAGAATATCGCTTGGGTGGGTGTTGTATCGTTCAATTTAGCGCTGCTTGCCATGCGCGCGCTCTCAGGGCACGGGTGGGCTTCCGTTTGGGCCAGCCAAGTCTTTTACCCCGCCTTCGGTGAATTCTTACCAGACTTACATGAGGGGATAAAAGTCACTGCCTGGGACATCGACCGGTTCCAATAAGTCTGGCACTATAGACCAAAGGGTAGCCAAAGTGTCACTATAATTCGGGAAGGAACTGGAGTGCATGACGCATCCCAAAAAGGGATTTATTTGAGCCGAGCGAAGGTTCTGATACCCGTCTTTTCTTGATTCTCCCAGGTGTGCTTTTTTCATCTAATGTACAAGTTTATCCCCGAGAATTGATTGGTTGTAGGTTTGCAACTTCACTGCGGAAATGGTGGGTTTCTTACCAACATTTTTGTAGCCCTGAATTTCATCTGGCAGAAAAATCCCCAAGCCTTTGTCTAAGGCAGATTAGACTGAGTGACAAATTGATTATTGGCACGTGACAGAATTTCCTCGATTGCTGTTGTCCTCACAGGACGACTCTATTGAGTCCATTATGCAATCTGGCGCTGACCGACGGCAGTTGACGCCAATCGGAAGTGCTTGAAAAAATCGACCGGAAGGACAATCGCCACAAAATGTGCGGTGAGGATTCCAGGATTTTTTTCGGCTGCTGTAACTACCCAAGACCACATCCGGTCCCGAGTGGTTAAATTATTTATTTATCATCCTGATTTATTCTAATGTTTATCTCTTTCAAATTTTACCTACTGTACGTAGGGACTACACTTTTGTGAGTGGTTCCCGTATCTAGGCAATGACTATAGATGAAGTGGGAAAGAAAGACTTGCTTCGGATGAATGGCTCTAATTACCAAGCACCAAGCATCAATTATGTAGCCCAAAGACAAGGAGGTTCACATGGTCCAGTCCGTAGAAGCCATAAATCTGCTGCAATGGCAACTCATTATAGGCTACGGGAAATGATTGGATATCCTGGACTAATCCATCGGCAACCAGAAGTCCCTATAGAGAGAAGAATGCGATGTTCTCCGTCCTCTTTCATCCAGCTCACTTAAAGCAGACTTATGGGATTGCAACGGTTTGTGACGAATTAACTTGAAAAGGGAAACCGAAACTCCATCGCAATGATGAATAGGTCGTTCAACGGAATTCCCTTTTACCGCAGCCTACGGTAAGGTTCTCCCAACCTGATCCGACCGCTTCTAGCTCTGTACCTCAATTGACCTCCAAATTTCCGCGAAGGCGCAGTTCATTTGCTTTACGCTGGCGACGAAAATAAAGGAAAAGAAGCCTCTCAGTAAGCTGGAATACGGACACTCATCCTACTCTCTGCTCCCACCACGCCTTCAAAACGGCTTTGTCATCCTATGCGAGATGATTCATGGCGTCGAGGTCATGAAAGGACGCAAGTATGAAGGTCTTAGCCCGTTAGTCTAGCCTTTTGATGGCAACGGGCACCCATCACTAGTCCGATTCAGAACTGAACAAGGGTTCCTAATGCAGTGGTGGCCATATACAGCGGGGACTTGCCGCGGACAACCGATTTGCACTATGTCAGCGATTCTTATCCTCCCGTGGCACTCCTGAGGGACAGCCGAATTTCAACTCCTGGTGACGTCATCTGTCTTAGTCTTAATTCCTACCCCTCGGACTCGTCGGCATTGTTTGGAATTCAGCGTGATCCTGGGCAAGCACTCGGGAACCTAGGGTTACCCTTTTTTCGTAGCATTCTTCCTAGCCCAGTAGACAGGTTTTGTAATCTATATAAGAAATAAAGTTATACCGGCACAGTTCGGCAACAAAGGGGGGGGGGGGGGGGCGCGAGCGGCATTATGCACTTTTGCTACTTCCCATCGACTGTGTCGACCCCATCTGACAGCCTTCATTCTCGGTGACAGATCATCACTATGTGGCGATTGCGAGCTTGATCCAGCCATTCACAAGAGTTTACAGGTTTCACCAGAGTGAGACTTGTAAACAGGAACTAGTGAAGCAACGAAAGTGCAAAATGCCCCCCGTCGCCGAACTGCGCCGGTTATAACTAACGAGAAAACCGCACACTATGATTTACTCTCTTGGAAACTTTCAAGTTTTCCATAAGCATTCTCCTACTTCTACCTTTTCTTCCCTAGACGAGTTCGCCAAGAGTTCCGTAACAAACACTGACAGCCCTCTCCCATGCGCGCATTCTCAGCGAAATCAGCATCGTCTTGCCTCGCACTAAGAAAGCAATGTCGCTTTTTCGGCATTGATCCGTGACCTCATTCGATTACGCAAACCTGTGAAGGAAAAACTTCTCGCGTTTCTCTCCCTCTTCACAATGGGAGTTTAGCACCGATGACGAATGCGCGAGAGAACGGTTTTTGGACAAGCTCTGTGCTAAGATTGTAAACAGTCAAGGTCGCCGGTGAGTCATAGAGAATTTTAGGGGCATTCAAAGGACTCATTGCGCAAACCGGAGGTAACGCAATGGAGATGATACGTTTTGCTCGGATCTGAAAACGGAAAAGTATCAAGGTGGATGTATCAGCTTCGGTACGGTACCGTTATTCGGATGACGTTGATCCAAGTTTTGCACCAGGAGCCTTCTCATGTCTCCTCATTGTCACTACCGTGGATTTCTATTCAAATTACACACCACTGCGAGTGTAGAGATCCAAAAAAGCCTAGAAGGAGCCAAAAGTCACATTCTCCTGTATGGTTCTGAATCTCTAGGGCACGGAAGTACGTCTTTGCCAGGTAGAACAGGGGTAGTTCAGTGAAGAGGGGGTGGGGGGGGGGGATTTTCACTTTTGTTGCTTCCCATCGACATTGTTCTCTTAAACCTCAGCCTACATATAGTTGGACAGTCCACCATGCTGGTCTAGACGAGCTTTCTCCAGATTTCACAAGAGTTCACAGGTTTCACCATAGTGATACTTGTGAACCGGAACTAATGAAGCAGCGAAAATGCAAAGTGCCCTCCGTCGCCGAACTGCGCCGTTTTCGAAGCAGCAAAAAACTTCGAGTGGAAAAGCAATAGGTGAAGTAAAGATTACGACCCCTTAGAGTCAACATCCCACAGATGAATTAAGCGTCTAAATTTTATAAGAGTCCCCTCCCGATCCTCATCATGCCTTCATTCTTCGAGGGATCGACTCCACGAGACCTCAAAGGCAGGGCAGATTTAAAACCTTTGAAATACGTGGAACATCTACTTAGTGGAGTCGGTGGACTCCTATCCACCGACTGATGCTCACCATTAGACTTCTCCCAGATGGGAGACGGTAAAGAGGATCGTAATTCGCCGCACCGCCACGCGCGGCGATGGGCGCGGCGTTTTCATAACTCGTTTTAACCTGTCGAATGGAGCACCGAACTTCATGTAGACCCCGTCATCGTAGACAGTCATTACTGCTTTCGGTCCTTAATTGCATTTTGTCGCCATCTACTACCTGGAACCATCGTCCTTTGCAGACTAGACGTCGCACGCGACGCCCAGCAGCGCGGCGAATTACGATCCTCTTGTCACATACCCCTCCCAGATGCTTTATAGGGTTGAGGTAACTAGTCAGCGGAACAATTATCACTCATAATAAAAAACTAAAACAAAATGTGTACTTCTATGGAGTCGAAATACTGTGAGCACCCTTGGAGGTGTGGCAGTCAAATCATTAGGAATGAGGCGCCATTGCCAAGCGAATGATGAAAATCAAACTCGAATATTCAGTGATGAGCGTTCTTTGTGTTTGTTTGTTTATCGTTACTAGATTCCCTTTTTATGACATTTTAGAATTTTATTGATTTAAGTTTCAGAAGTTTTTAAATAAATATGTTTAGAATCGTTGAGAATGCAGTTATGCGATTCGAAATCCGATCCATGAATTATCCATTATCTTTCATCAACTTCTTCCTCTGTCTTTACTTGGTCATCCCTACCTCACCGATAAGCTTCAGTGTTAATGATAAGAGTGGTCCTCTGGGCACAGGGAAGAAAAGAGCTAACTATATTTTCCTAGAGAGTTTTTTTACCAGATTTGTTTCTATTCCCATCTTCGATTGTTCGAAGTCTTTTTCAGGTACTGCAGGTGTGGCGTACGGGGCTCACCCTGCAGTTGGAGGGAAGGTTCTGCAAAATACGACCCCCGCCCTCAGAATTTCTCCCATGGTACAACATTCCTTCCCCCAGTCCACCCTCTTTTTAAATTTTTCCTAATTTCACACGGTTTTTCCGGAGTTTTTTTCTCAATACTGCGGAACGACGGAGGTGAGTGAATATACAGGCACCCGAAACGGGAAACACTGAGAAAAGTCAAGAGCCAAAAAATTTTTTACGCAGGCAAGTACGACCCCACTGCCTCCAGCGACCAAGTATATAACCCAATCCTCCTCCATGGAAATTCCCAACGCACGACGTTTCCTGGGTGTACCTGGGAGTACTCCTATGTTTACAGGGTAACCCCCCCCCATCACTGAGCGATTACTTACAAAACTGCTCCTGGGAACGCTCATTTTAACAAAACTGCTATTGTATGGGAAGGTTGTCATTCACGGCGAGCCGGAATACTTTTGATGGTATTGTCAACAGATCCTGAAGGTTGCTATTGAAGCAACTTTGGTGGAGAAGTCCAGTTCTCAAGATGATTCATTCAGATTACCAATCTCCCATAACTGTATGATTAGGGTAATTTATTTCCTTGGAGGCCGCCAACTTGGTAGAGAAAACTCATCAACATTGAAGGGAGGGTTCAGCGAAAGGGGAAGTTTTTGACCAGTATTTTTCAATTAAACAAAAATTTTCAATTATGGAAAAGGCCGGTTTTGAAGATGATTCATTCAGAATATCAATCTTTTCTAGGAATATAATTATGGCAGTCTATGTTGAAGGCCCCTAATATGGGAGGGGAAATTCATCAACATCGAAGGGACGGAGTTCAACGAAAGGGGGGTTTTCGAACAGTTTCCTTTTCAATTCCATAGAGACAATCTCTGAACACTCGTTGAAGGAACCTGAAGGATGGTGAACCCGCTCGCTTGAGGTCCCCCTTGGTTTGTTCGCCTGGGGTCCCGGACGAATTCGTTCGTAACGGGTTAAGTTGTCAGCAAGCCCCAGTACTGTTGTCGTCTCTTTGCGTTCTGGACCAAGGACCAGGATTTCGCGGGTGGACCCTTTCATCTACCTAAGGGAGAATGACTTATAGTTATGTCACAACGAAGGTCCTGGTTCTCCTTCCTTTCAGAAAACTTACTCCAGCCTCTTCGCTCGCCCTCGTCCCTGCATTTATTTTCCTTTGACATTTGTCTTCATTTTTCACAGCGCTATTTCCTGTTTTTTTTAATTTAATTGCTTAGGTCTGTGACATACCCTCGAGTGTACTCAAATAAATAAATAAATAAACACAATTTTTTGGAGACGGCAAGCAATTTTTTCGGGGAAGGCAACTAATTAGTAAAAGAACTTGTAGGTTTCTCGCCGCTCAGGTCCTACACTCATACCCACATTCAAATTATTAAAGAAGTAGCAAGGCACTGATTCTCCTTTACCGCCTTACTTCACGAAACCCAGAAATGAAATCACTAAAATCTGTCCCAGGCGGTAGATTTGGCTTGAAACGCTTCTCGGGGTACGTGGACCAAGATATTAACTGGCAACGTGGACTGGTAGAGTCGGAATCGGTAAGACCCCCTTCTACACTGCCATTCCCAACGCCCTTGCCGCTCCTCCAGATTTTCCCGAAATTTCTAAATTTTGTAAATTTGCCGTCGAACGGGAAAATATGTGGCGGGTGAAGCTGAAGACTCAGCAGTCAAAAAAATAATCAGCGCCAAGTGCGACCTTCTAGCCCTCCCTGACGGGATTCTGCAATGACGATGTGCGCTGAGTTGGACTTCCTGACCACGAAAATAACATCCGCTCTGCGCCAGAGAAACCTGGCTTCAGCGCCTCTAAGGCGGGCGCAGGGCGTTTTCGTGCAATGCAAATCTCGTTCACATTTTGACCCCTCGAAATGAGTCCTAGCTAACTAAAGAAACTGGTCCAAAGTGGAGCAGGGGGAACTGGGACATGAGTGGTGATTGGTGCTCACTGCACTCGTGCGCTACACCTACTTGGGAACAGTAGGCTCTGTCTCCTCTGAGTCTCTTGTGGCATCCAAGGCTTTCCGGTGATAAAGTGACCCGTTTAAAAAACTGCAGCTTAGCCCCATCAAAAAACGGGGAAGTCTATGAGAAGTCACAAAAAAACTAGTCGGAAAAAATCCAACGATGGGGACGACTGTTCTACGCATTTTGAGGAAATGGGTCTAATACCTATGGATACCTTTGGATGTCCTCTGGAGTCGATCCCTGAGGGTCCTGTGGAGGCGATTCCCCGGTGGACGAAGGCTACGATCGAGGAGCAGTTGTTTTTTCTTGGATTTCTGCTGCCTTCTTACCCTTCCACTGCTTTGGAGTTGAATAAGAACTAAAGAGTTGCTGAAAACGCGATTTTGTGGGATTGTTCCGAGTTTTTATCTTCCGCATGCAGGCAGCTTCCCAAATTCTCAAATCGATCCCAAACTTCCCAAAGTAAACTTATCTACATAACAAAAAAATAAATAGCGGCTCTTTCAATCCATAAGTAAGAATCTTCCCTAGATGAAATGTTTTTTCCAAGCGGGAGATGTGGGTTCGAGTCCCGTCTAGGGTGTGACTTCTGCCCAGAACTCAGCATTCTTGTGACAGGTTTTTCCAATGTTCAGTCATCTCTGAACATAGATGTGACAAAAATACTAGTTATAAGCAGCAATAAGGCCGGCAATCGGACATTCTCAAGCTTCCCTAGTGCATTGCCCCCCCCCTGCATCACCACATTACTGCAGATAAATGACCGCACATTAATCCTGGAAGTTTTTCGTTCACATCTGACCTCGAGAGACCTCGGCCAGACTGATCGGGGCCCAAAGCTGCAGCTCACAGAAGTGATGACGACAGCTGCTCGGGCTCTCAATCACGCACACGCCAGAGCTGTTTGTCGACGAGACTCATTCGTTGGCCCAAAATGTCGGCGTCACTTCTCGCCCACTCGCTCTTACACTCCCATCAGCAAGAGCTATGTATGGAATGTTGCCAAGAGCTGAAGGCTTTCAACCAGGGTAGATTAAAAAAAGGAAACCCTCGTCTTGTCCTCCCCCCCCCCCTCTCTCCCTGGCCACAGCTGCCTGTGTTGTGGCATATAACGCGTCAAAAACGTCAGAAATAGTCAGTGAAAAAGTTTGAAGGGGTGCCCCTCGCTGTCTATAGACCAAAAACGATGCTTCTAGGTGAGCTTCACAAAGATGATGGTTCTCGCTAACTTCTAGTTTTCGAGCCTTCATTAAAAAGATTCGGTGGGTCCTAGGTAAAAAATTTCGTCTGCACCCGAAAAACCATTTCTTTTCACAGCCTATTTTTATCTCTGGAGTTCAAATTATGTAGCATTTGAACAATTGGAACGCCGATCGTTTGATGTAGGAAAACTAGCTGCACGCCACATATGGAGGGTGATTCAATTTGACGCCAGCACAACAAAACCCTCGATTTCGGGCCGAAAAAAATGTCTAGCCGTGCAGCAACACTTTCCACGGCACTAGCATTCCGACGAGGCACCTCTCCATATAGCCCTCTCACTGAAGGTCTCAGAAATGAAGACTTCCAGAAAGCAGGCAACATTTGAAGTACTAAATTCCTGTCCAGGGAGCTTTTGAAGTTTAAACATGTTTTCTCACTAGTTTCGGTGTGGAGTCCCTGAAACCAATAAATTTGTCATCTTGTGGTTAGATTACCAAAGAGGGGTAGACCAGGACTTGTTTCCATGATTAGCAAATGAACAAGCAGTGCCACCTGCCCCTCTGTATCCCAGACAGCGGTATCGAGGATTCCTGCTCCTTACAGTATGACTCGACTTTGCGAGACTCAGGTTTCATTAGCTGTGTGTCACAAATGCAAACAGCGAATAATTCTAAAGGCAAAAATCACCAAGTTTGCCAAGGCCACCGCCCTACGCTTGCGCCAGAGTACGCGGTTGCCACCAATTTATCTCGCGTAGATATACAGTGTAAGTAGCACTCCGCTATTCGGGTCGGCAATTCTTCTCCGCAGAGCAATGCGCAGTGCTGCTGTGACTGCCATACAACCTCCTCCTTGCAGTGGCAATTTCCTTTCCCCGCCCATTCTTCTTGCTCAAACATCACTTTTCGGCACCATTTTGGAGTTTTCAGTAAAGAGCGCCTTCAACTCTCTGTGGCCAAATCGAGAATTTCCTAGCTGATAGTTGATATTGCTTGAATTATCGTTTATTTGGGACAATAGAATATCCCAGATCAGCTCGCCAAAATACGCAGAACGGATTCTCCACGAATCAGCGAAAAAATGGAATTTCAACTGATACATGGAGCTGTTATGATTACACCAGCCGCTGTTTTCAGAATTGTTCCATATAGACAAAATCAATAAAACATGCAATAAAATCTTGGAAACGAATCCAGTCAGGATGAATTGGTTGTTCCCTCACTGTAGGGAGGACAAAGTCGTTGGCTTTGGCGGGCGCCGGTCATCTCCACAAGTGTCATAACAAGGTCGTTACCTCGTCTGTGGTAGAGCCGTTAACGATAGCGTTCAATACGCTACTGTAGGCCACATATAGGCCGCTTTTCTTGATTCTCGATTCTTTTCTTGGAAGATAAGCCATGACGGTGACTTGAGCAGGGAATAATCTAGTAGGTGATTGGTAACGACAGGCATCCAGAAGGATAGGCTTCTGGGTAAGCAGCTAAGAATCGGGCTCTTGGAAAAGTCATTATCTTCTTCACTTTGGCGGTGTGTCGCGAAATGTTGGGAGGAACGAGTCAAGTACGCCAACCAGGAACGACCCAGCAGCCGGGTCTTTTGAAAACGCTACTAGTATGTGTCACTTGAAAATGGCCCGCCTACCTTCACAAACTCGTTCCCTCCCCTTAAGTGATTAGCGATATTTCCACCTAGAAAGTCACCAGCATTATTCCCGCTCTATTAAAGATCTTTCAGATCAGAACGGAGTTTTTCATTGACATGTCCCTGACCTGTCACATTGGATGCGCCATGTATATGTCAGCAATAGTTTTACACGAAAAGATTTTATCGGTGAGTGGAAAATGCGAAGAACCTTTGAAAGGTAGACCTTTGAAACATTGGAAAGCGAGGTTC